CCTAACAACAAAACTTGACGATAACGTGCTGACTTCGATTTTTCTATCGTCAACTTCATTTACTTTCTGCAGAAATACACCCTTATCACCTTTATATAGGATTTAAATGTTAATCTCTTTACGCAGTGCTCTTCTTACGAAAAATTCCTATGCAAGCTATTCAAACAAGTTGATGAAAAAGGGACATCAACAGTCTCGATTAAAGTCAAAATTTCAGTACTGTGATCCAAACTGTGATTTTGACAGCAAAAACAAGCTAACATTGTAACACTAACTGTCGTTTTTCGCGTTTTAATTGTTTGGCCATAATTTACACACCGAGTTTTTTTTTCTCTCGACTTTTTTCCTTTTATCCGCTCATAACAAGGAGCTTACGGAAGGTACAACCATGTTTGAACGTTTACTCTTCTTTGGCGCCTGGTCCAAAACTTTTATGTCTTGAGAGGTCCGTGTTTGTTCTGCTTCCACTTTATACTAAGTTACATTTACTGTACGTTATCTCCATATTTTATTCTAAATGATACACTGTAGGTGATGATAGTTCATCTTTGATTAAAGTATATGGCTTTAAAATATTTTGGAAGCATATTGTATTAATAGGTTTTCTAAATAAGTGACATTTCGTCTGAAGCAGCTCAGTTTTTAACAAAACTGCACAGAAATTATAACATCCTGCGCGAAAACTGAAATTTTTTTTTAACTTTCCTTCTCAATCAATAATTATATAACAGATATCTTTCCCCCAAAAAAGACGTTCTGTTAATTTCCGCCGTTCTGATTATTACATAATCGATTTTTAAAACAGCATGCAACAAAAACGATAGAGATAAAAAATGATGCTGTCCTTCAAAAAAGTATCAGACTGTTATGTACGAACCAAAAGCATGAAGAAATATAAAAAAAAAACATAAATCAAAAATAGTGATGTAATGTTAAATACGTTTTTTTTTAAGTTAACTTTTATACGAAACTCGTCATTTTTTTTAAGTCTTAATATGCTTTACAGTGCGACTGTTTGGGCGAGCGCAGCATGCTCTATCTAGAGTTGTCGTTCCCGCTTCTCTTCCACATACACCTCTGTCAACGTTTGTTTTACAAGAATCTTGGGAAAATTGTAAATGATTAAAAGTTGTATTAATAATAGTGTTCAATTATATTTCTTATCGGAAAACATTATTTATTTCAATTTGTTACACCTGAGAAGGATTTTTTAATTAAGATTTTAATTTTTACTCCGCAAATAGTTCCCTAAAAACTTTGAAAATAAGTCGTTCTGAGGGATTATAGTTTTTAAATAAATGATGAATTATCATCTTTATCAATAATTACAATAATTATTTATCATTTAAATTTCGAATCTTTGCCGTTTAAAATTTGTACAAGAATCTTGTACAACGAGCGTTGACAGAGGTATCGTGAGCGTAGCGGAAGATATCCGATCCTCAGCCAGGAAGAATAACTCTTTAATTTACAATTTAATTCAAAAATCTCAAAATGAAGCTTGAAATTGAAATCCTTTCATGCAACAATTTTTATTTTATGCCTCTCAATGTGATTCAATGTTCTTTGAAGTTTTTAGAAAAGGCATTAAAAAGTTGATATTTGTACCTCATCAAAGGAAGTAAAAAGACATCTTTAATGACATCTAAGTTATTTGAATCTAACGTCAGTTATCAATGTTTATTAGCATGATATGAAATATGAAGTGATCTATGGTGTTTTATGTGATAGGAAACACTTCATACACTATAAATTATAAAATAATCGAAGTAAACAGGCGAAACTAAAGAATGGAATAAGTATAAAAATCATGCAATTTTCTTCGAAAGCCTGGATACCTATAATTATTTCTAAAATATATTTGTTCATCATTTTTCAACTAGACAATATGCAGAAGGTAGTTTTATTCGCATATTGTGAAAATTTATTTTAGAATTACCAATTTTCCCTATATAATATGATTAACTTTATAGATATAGTTTTGAGAAACACCGTGGGTAAATACACATTATTTTGAGAAATCTAATACATCTTTGTAAGCATTTTCAAAACTCAATGCCTGATTTTCCTAACCTGAAGATTGGACAACCTTAATCCGCCACTTCCTCACATTTAGCCTTTGATATTTTGACGTCAAAATCAGTAGGGATTTCTTTAGATCATAGGCCTTAAGATAAAACAGGAAAAATATTAACATTTAGAACTTTATATCATTCAGAACTAATTCGTACCATTTCAATAATGAACTTCTTATTTTGGCTGGAAAATCGTACGATTTACATTTGGAAATATTTTTTAAACAATACATGAATTTCTGGTTTGCCTTTTTTTACCTCGATTTCAATACGGGTTTTCTTATACCTATGAATTTTAAACATCTACACTGCCAGGAATGTTAGAGAGATCATCAGGCAATTTAAAGTTTTACAGAAAGAGAGAATGACAGACTAACTGAAAGACAGAACAGACCCAAATATCCCCCCCTTTAATCAAAATGGGAGACAACATTGGCAAAAAAACAATATTTAACATCATATGATAAATTTCAACTATTCTTGCATTGAAGTAAAATGGGAAAAAAATTAAATAAGTTGACGTTTTTTTATTGCTGGTGATATTTACAAACATAAAATGAAACAATTTACATGTATACCAAAACTTTGAATCAGACACACATTAAAAGCCATTCTCTGTAATGATTTAAAATTTTATATAGGAGCTGTGGCACGCATAGTCTCAGAAATTCTCCAAACTCTCTATGATAAAAGCCATTGATACCCTAAACTGAAATCAGGCAAAAATTGGTTGCTATGTTTTATAGTTACCATGGCAACATGTCTTAAAATTCGAAAAATGGCATTTTTAACATGTTTAGAGCCCAATAGTTAACATTTGCGGCAAAGCAAACAATTGGCAATGACTGTTTCCAAAAGTTGAAGGTCAGATGTCTCAAATGCATGATAAACATGGTTGGTAAATCAACTTTTGCATACGTTACTATGGTAACAAAGTATTCAAAAGTAAAAAAAAAATATTCATTGAATTTTAAAAAATCATACACGTAAAAATAAAAAGCAATTATAGGATGAAATGTGACCAAATAATAGAAAAAAGAGCCTTGAAACATATACCAAGAACAAAATATGATATTTTATTTTGGTTGGCAATGTTTGCCAAGGTCTTTATACCACAGAGAGCCTTCAAAGTAACACAATGTATGTTTAAATCTGATCCTATCTTTTAAAAAAAGCGCATTTCCTCATAACTAATGATCAATTTTATAAGATGTTGGTGTGGTCCAAGTTTTCGCATTTGAAAAAATTCAGATTAGATTCTTTAAATAGAGCGTTGCTATGGAAATAAGCAGAAAATATATGCTTAAAAACCTGAAAATTATTTTCTTTCCTTGGATACGTAGCCTTAAATGTAGATTCCCAAAACTTTTATGATTGATATTTATTAACAGCTAACTTGACTTTTAAGTTTGACTATCATCCAATCTCTAAGTGGATGCAAGAAGTTGGCACACAGGGTTTAATATTTATATAATGTTCACAAAATCGAACATTTTCCCTTCTTGGTTACCATAGCAGCAGTGTTGTTTTATTCATCAAATTTTATCAATATATGATATTCAACTTCAGTTCTAACAGATAAGTACTATTCAAGCTGAGTCCTTTAATTTGTTTCTTGATTAAATGGCAATGCAATTCTTAATGCAGCAAAAAATAATTCACTTTTAAGCACTGGTACTTTGTTTCCATGGTAACACTACAAAGTAGCAATTATACTGAATTTTTCTTATGGTTTTGGTGTTGCAAGGTCCTAAGGATGCATATTTGCCAGTCTTGAATTTTCATGTTTTTCCTCAAGACGGTAGCATTAACCCAATCTTAGTTACTGGTTTTGCATGGTTACACTGTGTTACCATGGCAACCATAAAAGTTATTTATAGAATAATATTGCTTATATACTTAAGGTCAGACTTTTTCATTGTTTTTCTTAAGTCGTTGATTGAGTTTGAGCATGTAACACCTACCATTAGTGAATATGGAGTGTTTTTCAGCATATTTCAGCATTTTAAATGTATTTCAAATGTACCCTTGGTTACCACTTACTTAGAGATATATTCTAAACAGTTTCTTTACAGTATAAGTGACATCAAGGTGTCATGTTTTTGTGAGAATGGTTTGTTTGCTTTTTCTAGTTTTTATTAAGCCACAATCAAGATTTAAAGTGGCTGAAAACCTCAATTTTTCAAACTTTTCCGGCTGTTGCCATAGCAACCGAGACACATAGCAACGAAATTTTGTTTGATATTTGTTTCTGGTGTCAAGTACTAAGCATGGGTGAAGTTTCATCAAAATCGGTGACCATGCGTGGCAACGAAGTTTAAGTGGTTACAGAGAATGGCTATTAAAACAATGCAACATTAAACACACACTAGAATGAAAATCCCATCTAAGATAGACAATTTTACTTGTGCAAATGAAAGAATTGAATGATTTCACCCTTATGTTTAAATTTATATATTAGCATGTAGTTTCATTTTAAACTAAAGACCCAATGGGAAACAACACTAAGTTAACCTTATTCACATTTCTCCTTCTTTTTGGCCTTGGTCCTACCAACCGGGACCAGCAATTTTCAACTGAATCAATACAAAATAGGGTTCTTGAACATCTGTTTATGTAAAGCTTTCCTGTGGAGTAACTTGAACATATTTCTCTGTTAAAATTGGATATCCTCTATTTTAGTCCCACCCTACTAAATAAAATGAATATTTCTTTTAAAAACATTCTGCATGAAACCAAATATATCAGATCTACATGTATTAAAAAAGTTGTTGCAAATGTAAAACAAATAGTACAATTATGGCATTCAATTCTGAAAATATCACAATTTACAATGAATTAAACTGAAGTGAATAAAAAATGACAGTAATAGAACCATAAAATATATCATGATTTTTACATCTAAATCAAAGAAAAGAAATACTATCAAAGAAAAACATATTACATAAAGTGTAGATGCCTGTGATATGTTTTTAGTCTGAAGATCCAAAATTAATTTGAAACAGTATTATTTCTGAACAGTTTGTTATACAGTTGGTATACTTTATAATGCCATCGCTTCCTCTAACCAAACTAAGCCATAATGGCTGCTCCATCCTTCTTGACCTCCAGCTGATGTCCTGATCCAGAAAATCCAGATGCTCCCTGAAAGAGAAATCCATGTGTGTAATAGGTATAAATCATAAATCTTCTTACTTTCACATGCATGTCTTCTGAAATCAATGTAAACTTTAATATTTTGAATTTCATGGATATTTCAAGTTCCAACCATTTCCTTCTTTTAATTAATTAATGTAGTGTAATCTAAAATATATATTTCAAATTTTCAGATATCTTAAACATTTATCTTGACCACCACCCTATCCAAGGCAATGATATTTGACTGTATCCTATATGCTTAAATGTTTATATGTCTGTAAACATAGCCTGTGCCAGACCTTGAGTGGTATGATGTCGGATTCCTTCATTGATTTGTTGTTGATTGGATCCAGCATATCTTTCTTTAGAAGCTTCTCCACGCAATCAAGGGTGACCACACTTCCCCTGTACAGTGTATAATCACGACTTACATAAAAAAAATGTATGGTGATTCAGTTTACCGTATTGTACTTTGGTAACAAAATAATAGCTCTTTGCATTGATAAAATTTGATTTCACACTAAAATATTTTATTTTCAAAACATTTATTTAGGGGAAAAAAAAACATGAAAAATTTCATAGTAATTTCTGGTAACAATCAGATAACATTAATTTTGTATTATGAATTAATGATGTAAGATAGTTATCTATACTATTAAATATATTAATATATATAATAACAAACAAATGAAGCATTTCTTCCATGCAAGTCAGCAACATGATATTGTGTCATTTTGCAAAAATAAAATGTGCTTTGTTCAAAGCATGCAGCTTTGGTAGTTTGCTGTTTACAAAACTTACGATGTTTTTAACACAGCACATGGCACAGAGTTTCCCAAGACATCGTTGGTAACTGCACAAACATATCTGGCCTAGAATAAATCAAATTAATATTAAAAAGTAATGAGTGTATCAACAAGTTATGGAAACATGATAAATATACCGTACATGTATAAATCTTAAATTTACAGTACTGTATCCATGCTCACTAAGCCACCAAGCCTTCACATTTGTCAGTGAATGTGATCAATATCAAATTGAACACACCTGGCAAAATAATTTAACAGAACTGAAATGTTTTTAACAAACATGGGTGTTTTATGTAATCCTGAAGATTGTCATTATCACTTATCATTAAGAATTTGCATAAAAAAATTATTTAACTCTAAAAACAGATTAAAAATTTTAAATTGTAATTAGAACATCAAATAGTGCATTCCTGTCCCATTAAAGTCAACAGATATTAGGAATTGATCAAATATGGGGATCTTATCACAGCACTTTCCTCTTTTTGTGTTTAAAGAAATATGTCAAACATATACAGTAATAAAAAAAAAAGTAAATTTCAATTCTGAGCTTTATTCATACATGTCTCTTAGAATGAAAAAACCATTAAATTCTTTTAGATTTCATTTAACATTTTTTTAGTATCACAGTGAGTGTTACTTAGTTCATTAAATTTTTAATGATTTATATTCAGAAATAACAATTTATTAAAAAATATTTTTTCATTTAATCCTACAAGACAATCAATAGTTTCGATTATATTTCACATTTATTGAGACAGAAATATTCAATGGGAATTACTTCGATTTTATTTTGTTGTTTTCCCCATCACTGTTTCTATCCTCATGTCATATAATAAAAAATGATGAATGAGTAAGGAAAAATCAATGTCAAATAATATATTCATTTTCTTTTTTTTAAAAAAGCAATCAAATTAAAGCTAGCCAGTAGGTTAGCTTAGAACTTCAATTAACTATTATAAGTTAGCAAACTTAGAGACATTCATTACCCTTTGATTAATCTTTTTCTTAACTTTGATGTTCAAAGTATACATCGTGTCCTTCATATATTAGGTATACATGTTATACAAAAAACCTGCAGTTTGATATTTATTTATTCCTTCCTCCTTCAATTTACTGATTGCAAGCTTAAAATATCCCAGTTTGATTAAAATTAAAATCAATTTAAGTCTTACATAAAAGGTTTTACAGTTACAATGTTCTTGTATTACACATTATATTGAACACCTACATACATGTACAAACAAATAATACTGCATTTCCCTCATTACCTAGCAAGTGCCAATGGCACTAAAATTTTAAATAAAAGCTTCGGGGGTGGAAACACTATACTTTTACAATATATTTTGGGTTATTATTTAAAGAGTTCCATATTTATATACTGTAATCTACATGTATATAGATTGTTCTTAACAAATTTAATGCTTAGGCTGGAATTAAAAATATCTTTGTTTTCCCTAACCCGACCCTAAATTCTCAAGTTGGGTCGGTAGGTAGGTAAACAATTTTATTTTCTGACAGCAGCTTTGAAAATACATTCTAAAATTTAATGGAAAATTACCTTTTATTATAAATAAGAAAAGTACAAAAGAAAGCGATTTGTGAACAAAATGCTAAGTATCGTACATATGCCGTTTAAAAGCAAAATTCATGATTAATTAATTCAGAACTGTTATTTAGTTGAACTTGTGAAAGATCTCAGGCCATTACATTTATATAAATTGAATGAAATAGACAAGATTCTCAACTACGTAAAGACCAGACATACGAGTATATTTTTTCAAACCTTCCATCAGCCTTCAGAGCAATTTTTTTTAGGGTTATGAGATTTGCAGTGGTTCTGGAGCATTTTGCTTTGGAGTTAAGATGTAAGTGGCTAATTTTAAATCGCATGTTCAAATCCCAATGAGTAACATTGAAAACGGTCCTTCAAAGGGGACCATAAAAACTTCTGTCCAGTATGTGTCGCAGAAGATGCTGGCTTAAAAAAGATCCCCCACTGCTTAATGGCAAAAAAGTGCTGAGTACGTCTAAACTTGAGCAATGGGAAAATGTTTAAATGTCGTCCTAACAAATCTCGAAGGGATTAAAAGTGAAGAAACAACCAATCTTCAAGGGCCTAATTAAAGAAAAATACACTGGACGTCACAGGAAGCTGAATCATATTTCAAAACTATTTGGAAAGAGTACTGTAAATGTAATTTATTTGGCATGTAAGATATTTGGCGGAAATTGATTTTTCAACAAGTTAGCGTAGAATCGATTTAGCGCATTTCTTTATGTTCTTTTTCATGCATTTATGTGCAAGTCATTGATAAAAATGCTATATACAATGTCATAGTCATGAAGTTTAACCACCAAATAAAGGCATGAAGAAAGGACATCTGAATTATATTTATCAAGATGAACATGCAGACATATTTACAACAACTCCCACAGTTCCATAATGGCATAAAGTAAACATAGGAACATAGATGAACTGGTTATTAGATCAAAACTCAAATAAAATGCAGTAAAATTGAATGGTGTGTTCACTAGGTGGGTCTACTCATGAGGCGGACCTTACCATGTATCACGTTCCTTAAATTCAAAGACTTTGTTTGTTGTTTAATGTCCCTTGCGAAAATATATTCACTCACATGAAGACGCCAAGACATCTCCGAAACACTCTAAATTAGTCATGGTAATTTTATTATTGAATTGTTTCAAGAGTGAAGAATTCCAATTAGCTAAAAGCATAAGATTGAGACGTCGCCATTGTTTTTTGAAGAGCTAATGCCAGGTGTAATCACATCTGGACGTCATTTTGTTTCCAACAAATGCTTGAAAATCACAGAACAATGTCGGCCGTTCTGATAAACAAGAGGCCCATGGGCCACATCGCTCACCTGAGAATATTTTGTCATATTGTTCTTTACCAGATTTCCCCATTGTAATACATATTGTGGCCCCGCCCAACCCCCTGGGGTCATGATTTGAACAATTTAGAATCTACACTACCCCAGGGTGCTTCCACATCAGTTTCAGCTTTTCTGGCCCTGTGGTTCTTGAGAAGAAGATTTTCAAAGATTTTTCCTATATCTTCCTATGTAAAACATTGATGCCCCATTGTGGCCCCGCCCTACCCCCGGGGGTCATGATTTGAACAATTTAGAATCTACACTACCCCAGGGTGCTTCCACATGAGTTTCAGCTTTTCTGGCCCTGTGGTTCTTGAGAAGAAGATTTTCAAAGATTTTTCTTAAATATTCCTATGTAAAACTTTGATTCACCATTGTGGCCCCGCCCTACCCCCGGGGGTCATGATTTGAACAATTTAAGATCTTCACTACCCCACAATGCTTCCACATGAGTTTCAGCTTTTCTGGCTCAGTGGTCCATGAAAAGAAGATTTTCAAAGATTTTTTCAATATATTTCAATGTAAAACTTTTATTCACCATTGTGGCCCCGCCCAACCCCCGGGGGTCATGATTTGAACAATTTAGAATCTACACTACCCCAGGGTGCTTCCACATCAGTTTCAGAAGATTTTCAAAGAGTTTTCATAAATATTTCTATGTAAAACTTTGGTTCCCCCTTGTGGCCCCGCCCTACCCCAGGGGGTCATGATTTGAACAATTTAGAATCTACACTACCCCAGGGTGCTTCCAATCAGTTTCAGCTTTTCTGGCCCAGTGGTTCTTGAGAAGATTTTCAAAGATTTTTCCAATATATTTCTATGTAAAACTTTGATTCCCCATTGTGGCCCCGCCCTACCTCGGGGGTCATGATTTGAACAATTTAGAATCTACACTACCCCAGGGTGCTTCCACATGAGTTTCAGCTTTTCTGGCCCAGTGGTTCTTGAGAAGAAGATTTTTAAAGATTTTTCCTATATATTTCTATGTAAAACTTTGATTCACCATTGTGGCCCCGCCCAACCCCCGGGGGTCATGATTTGAACAATTTAGAATCTACACTACCCCAGGGTGCTTCCACATGAGTTTCAGCTTTTCTGGCCCAGTGGTTTTTTGAGAAAAAGATTTCCAAAGATTTTTCCTATATATTTCTATGTAAAACTTTGATTCCCCATTGTGGCCCCGCCCTACCCCTGGGGGTTATGATTTGAACAATTTAGAATCTACACTACCCCAGGGTGCTTCCACATGAGTTTCAGCTTTTCTGGCCCAGTGGTTCTTGAGAAGAAGATTTTTAAAGATTTTTCCTATATATTTCTATGTAAAACTTTGATTCACCATTGTGGCCCTGCCCAACCCCCGGGGGTCATGATTTGAACAATTTAGAATCTACACTATCCAAGGGTGCCTCCACATAAGTTTCTGCCTTATTGGCCCAGTGGTTCTTGAGAAGAAGATTTTTTAATGACCCCACCCTATTTTTGTCTTTTCTTGATTATCTCCCCTTGTGAGGGAACTTGGCCCTTCATTTTAACAATTTAAATTCCCCTTCACTCAAGAATGCTTTGTACCAAGTTTGGTCAAAATTGGCCCAGTGGTTCTTGAGAAGAAGTCGAAAATGTGAAAAGTTTACAGACAGACAGACAGACGGACAGACGGATGGACAGACAACGGACAAAATGTGATCAGAAAAGCTCACTTGAGCCTTCGGCTCAGGTGAGCTAAAAACTGATTTTGATGAAATTATATTTTATAAAACTCAATAAAAAAAATATTTGAATCATCTTTTTTGAAAAATCTTTTCAGTCGGTGCGATTTAATTGGGTCGGTCGCGTTAGGGGAAACAAAGGTATTTTTTTTTTTTGGCCTTATTGTTTAATTAAAACACTTCTCAACTTTTCATTCAATCTCTTCACAGGTAATGTGTGATGAGACCCCCTTTCTAACTCAAACAAAATAAAAGATCTAAAGTGAGTTGGCTGTCCTGACCAACTGTTCTTTATGTACATATCTTGAATCTTTAGTTATCTTGAAGTGTTTCTGTGTCCCATCAAAATCATGATAAAGAGGTTTAACTGTATTTTCAACACATAACACATTATATCCAAAAAGTTTCCTTTCCTGTAGAAATGCTTATCTTGCTGTGGTCTAATCGTTTATGAACAGAATAAAATAGCAAATTTTAAATGAAAATTGCAGTGGTGAATTTTTTTATAATTCAAGAAATTCCAAAAAGGCCTAAACAGGCAGTTTCTGAGTATACATGTACCATGCAGAAAATTTCATATTATAAAGAATATTTATACCCCCCACTTGATAAGTGGGAGGGTATATTGTGATTGGTCTGTACATCTGTCCATCTGTTATGCTTTGTTGGTAACCATCTCTTATCTGCAACTCCTCTTATACCACTGGATGAAATTTAATGCGACTTTCACAGATTCTTTTTTAAATAGTGCCATTGTGACCTCCTATTTTACTTTTTGATCAGAAACATATTCCAGGTTTCCCATAGCAAAACAATAACACTTCCATTTTTTCTATAATATTGAAGGGTACCCATCTATTATCCACATCTCCTCCTAAACCACTGAATAAAATCACAGGTGCTTGAGGACAGGACCCCCCCCCCCCCAATATAGACCCCCTACCTGTTAGACTTTTTTCACATAAATTATATATGGATGACACATTTGTGATATAATCTATCCTATCAATTCTGAAAATTTGCTTAAATAAACATTTTATAAAAATTTCTACCCCACTCTCTATATATAAATGTTGATTTTTATATAGAGAATGTAGGGTAGATTTTATAGAACGTTTGTTTTAGGTAATTTTTCGATTTGTTGGTATAGATCTTATCACAAATATGTCAATGAAAGATTATTTATGAGAAAAAAGTCGAAAAAGCCCAGGGGTCTATATCGAAGGGGGGGTCCTGTCCTCAAGCACCTGTGAATAAAATTTAATGATTCTATCACAGAATTTTAAATACATAATGCCATTGTGACCTTCTATTTTACTTTTAGCTCAGACATTTATTTTGGGCCTCACTGAGTAACACATGCCATTATAATCATATGGGAGGGGGTATCATTTAGTGAGCTCACTGCTCACAGTCCCTCTAGTTTTATTACAGATTTTGTTTTATCTTTGCAGCCTTTTTTGAAATCTATCACCTACTGCTGAAAGATATTACATATAAGTAATGGCTATACTTCCTCATAGACAAAGCACTAAATAGAGGGAAACACTGACCTGTTTTGAAATCAAAGCTGTCTTCTCATCCCGATCTTTGATTGGAGTAAAGTGAACTGGGAAAAGGTCTTTTAATTTGATTGGTTTTCCACTCATGGGACATCTCACTTTTTCATCCTGAAATATATCAACAAAATTAATGTTACATAACCTATAAATATTTACATTTGCTGATGTCTTTCCGTATATAACAATGATAATAAAATTGAAATTCAATTTTCAATGACATGCAGTTGGTAACATGATACAATTTTCTTGCATAAGGAAAGCAAACTGAACGAGCCATTTGGAAAGTACAGATTGTGATTTCATATGACGTCGTAGATACGTTATGTTGCATGTCCATAACAAAGTCTAAATAGTGCCTATTTTTCCTTCTCACATGAATGAAAAATTATAATATAAATACTAGAAATAAAATATCATTTTTTAGAGTTTCATTAGGAATGACATGAATTCGTTACGTGATCAAATATACTATAAGGCCCTTCCCCATAACTTTTGAACGTTAGATGAGAGATAGAGACTTCATATCTTGTATGCATACTCCACTAATTAAGCTCTTTCAAATGACACCAAGATCAATGACCATGTGACCATGAATGTGACCTATACTGGTATGCTAAATATAGCTTTTTTGAACTTTCGCCTTTACTTTTGAACCACAGGAGATAGAAACTTCATATTTGGTTTCCATAGTCCACTAAATAAGTTCTTTCGAATGAAACCAAGGTCAATAACCTTGTGACCTTGACTGTGACCTATATGCTAAAAACAACTTTTTCAAACTTTGTTGCAGCCGGGCGCATTGTGTTTCACAACCACATCTTGTTCATATTTTGAACAGTACCACAAAGACACAAACCTTTATCAATCAATTTTTTTAAAGCTAAATTCAATAAATATATTAAATTAACAACAGTCACAAAACTCATGTTAAGCAAGAACATTATTTAATTCCCTAAAACTTATTGCAGGTTCATTTTAAAATTAGAAATACCTCATTAAAGGTACTTGGACACAGATTTGAAGTTAATATTTTCTCATTTTTTCTGTATAATATCACGAATTATATATTTTAATAGCATTTCACACAAAAATTAATTAAAAATCTTATTTCATTTAAAAGTTATTAAAACTTTAAATTTTTTGGCGGGTTTGATTGACACATCCTTGCACTTTTACAAATTTTAACTTTATTCTTAATCCTTACGAAAAGTGGCAATTTTGATGTGTTTTAATGAGAAATATTAAAACTTTTATCAAGAAAAATAATTTTATTCAGAGTAGAAAAGTTAGAAAGCAAAACACCTTCACAAGTATCGTCATTCCGAACTAAGAGATGCGTACAGAGTTTAGCAAATCGAGCACACTCGTGTTATGTACACAGTTTTTGTAAACAGGGCTCGAGTTCTGTTATTGTTTATATTTAGAATTCACCGGGTGCGTTCAATCGTCACAGTCTGCTTACCACAACTGCACGGACTGACAATATATTGTGTGTTTGTTTTGCTTTCGAACGTGTCTACTCTGAATTTTCTGGATTATAGTATTAATATTTTTCATTTATACAAAACGAGATTGCCACTTTTCCTAAGGATTAAGAATAAAATTAAATTTGTGAGAGTGCAAGGATATGTCAATCAAACCCGCCGAAAAATTTGAAATTTCAATATCTTTGAAACGAAATAAGAATTTTAATTAATTTTTGTGTGGAATGCTATTAAAATATATAAGTCGTAATATTATAGAGAAAATTCTAACTTCAAATCTGTGTCCAAGTACCTTTAAAGCTTAAGTACACTTGTACTTACAGGTTTGTCCATCTTTGTGGCATTTGCTGCTGGTGTCATGGAGGGAATCCAGAAACTCGGGAGAACTTTGTTTTTCCCCTCCTGCATATTGCTGACACTTGAAGTTGATGGTTTATCACCTATAAAATACATATCATCAGATAAATGACAATTTATACTGCAGATTCTTTTGGCATAGGTCCTGAGGTCCATGCTCAGCAAAGAATATGTACCCGTTCAGTAAGGTTATACAAGATGCTATTGTGAAAAGTAAGATAGCACACATCGTTCAATACCCACTGGTGATCTCATCTTTACTCATCATACATGGGCAAACCAGCTGAAATATTGCCGTAAAATATGCTAATTTGTTGTTTACAGTCATTCAATCAGAAAGTTGGAACTCTTCAATTTTGAAAAATATGTTTATTAGTTTGCTATTTATGGTAAATATTTTGATGCTCGTTAAAACGTGCGGAGTTTGATTTAGAACGATTAATTTATAAAGTCAATTCGCACAGGTCACTGACATTAATACCAGTCAGATGTTGTATCATGTATAGAGGAGTACCTCTTTCTAACTGCAAAATGCGCCAGTGATTGGATTTATTAGCAATCAGTGTGATAAATATGGAATGAGTTTTTGGCATTGCCAATCATACATACGTAACGTGAACTGTAATTCGTTGTTTGCAATCACGACTCTTTGCAACAGCCAATCAAATGACCCACCCATATTTAATTACATGCGACAATTTTTTGGCGAGTTGGCCAGTGGTGATAAGTTTAAACGAGATCACCCGTGGGTTTCCGACGATGGATAGCACATGCCCTAGAATGTTACATGTATGCATTTCTTGTGACAAGACCTTCCCCTAAGTACCATTAATTATGACATTTAACCTTGGAGTTTAACCTATTTTTTAAAAGAAAAATATCTTTGACTATACTATTTGAACAGTTGGTGCTAGAGCTTTCATATTCATATTCAAGTTCTAGCTTTCCTAGGATTCTTTTGACATCAACCTTTGAAACTGAATTTATTTGAAAAACTTTTACCTTGAAGTTTGCTGTATGCTGCGATACAGGGCATCATGTTCAAAAACACATTTTGTTGATTTAAAATACTCAATTGAAAGGGTAAATAAAGTGTACTAAAATGGGGTCAATTAAGCCCTAACTGCTCAATATTCACTTGCCTGTTTGTTTAGTGATTGGAGCTTGAGAATTTGCTGACATGAATTCCTGCTTTTGTGCTTCACTTTCAGCTTTGGCTAATTCTGCAAGTTCTTCCTGTAATATTCGATTTTTCAAATGAATGCATATATAAAACAAGATAAAATGAACTAGAACTTGATCACAGATGCAACTAGTTAAACCAAAATATTATCTTTAAAATTAATTTGGGAAGGAGTGAGAGATGTGGATCCTTCCCTTTCCTATTATTGCCCATGCATGGTCAATATAAGTTTTGTATACTGAATATTCTAATATCAAAGCCTTGAAATATACATTTCAGGTGCAGACAAATGCATATAATGTTGAAATATGATTACTCATAGTAATGGGTAATAATAGATGCAGAAAAAATTCTATTACTGACATTTTGTGTGTCGCACAAAAGTGTCATTTCAAAGGCTTCCATTAAAAAGATCCAAACTAGATTTATATCAGATTATCTCATTTTGTCGGATGTACCCAACTTTTTTCCAAAGTATTTTTTATTGGTTATGAGTTAAAATATAAATAACCAAGCTAGACAACATCTGATACCTTTTCTCTGTTTTTCTGTTTTTCATATTCTTTCTGTTTCCGAGCAATTTCCTTTTTCTTTTTCAATATGTACTCCAGAATAGATTCCTTGTCATACAAATATCCATCTTGTCTGCAATCAACAGAGAGGGAACAAAAATTAATAGCCTGAAGAACAGTTTTTTTAATTATATTTTTTACACAAAAATGTTATATAATGAAAACTTACGTGACAACTGGGTTTCTGCAGGGCTGTAATGTCAGGTTACAGCAGTCAAAATCCTGTCAAAATTCCATTTTCAATCATATATTGAAATATCACTTATGAAACACACATATCACATATATATAAATTAAATTTTCAATCATATATTAAAACATCAAGATATTGTATAGGGATGGGTATCACCAAAAATTTCATATCGCGATATATCACGATTTTTTTCCCACAATATCAAGATAATATCATGATACTTTTAAAAGCAGTTTTTACACTGATTTTAAAGGAAAAGTCATTATTTTTCTGAAAAATATGCTAGAAAAACAAAATTTTACTTTCTTAAAATTTTTATGCATACTGTAAACCAACTTATATTCGCGTGCGAGAAACGAAGTTCGCGAGAGCCTCGTCGTAAAACCGGTTTTAGTATATTTGTCTATTAAAAACAGATGCAAAAATCGAAAATTAATCGTCGCAAATAGTTTATCCCTGGTAAATCGCGAAATAAAGTCGTCGCGAATAAAAGTTGGTTTACAGTATAAAATCAATTATGTTTGGACGGTAAGATGCCGTTCTTTTCACTTTTTACAACATTTTTTATACTTTCTGTAATTGTAATTTGAAAGATTGAACAAATAAATGAATAATTTCTGGACTTTATAATATGTACCTAAAGACCGGTATTTAGGTCTCCGTATCACGATACGTATCATGCAACAAAAAATTGCGATATACCAGCCTTATACCAATAAAATCGCACATTCCTAATATTGTATATAAAAAAGTACAAATTTGTGAATCAACAATTGTGTAAAAATATAATTTTTTTAACAGCAAAACTATTCCCATTATAATGAAATCTTTATTCAACATTTTCCCATTTATACTGTGAATCAATCACTCAAGTTATTAATCTGTAATCCAGAATTTCACAAAACAAGGCTGCACAGCATTTAATCTTGAAATGTAATTGTTTTGTACATGTATACCGCAAACATTTAACAATAACAGCATTGGCTGCATGTTATTGCCTTTTCTATATTCTTTACATTCCAGATAGATTTATGTTTATTACAAAGACATTGCAAGTAGTTTTCATATATTAATTAATTAGCTTCTAGTCTGGTAGTCTGTTACACTGGTTCTTACCTTTATGAAGTCTTTGCCCGGTTTTGAATTCTTTGACCCTGTTACACTGGTTCTTACCTTAATGGAGTCTTTGCCCAGTCTTGATTTCTTTGACCCTGTTACACTGGTTCTTACCTTAACAGTCCAGTCCAATACGAAAAATCGTAATATTACTAAAATTCGTAATATAAACAATTTCTAACTCTTCTAAGAGTTACTTCCCTTTTTTCTGATACAACCTGCTTGTTATGTTTCATGAGAGATTATACGTCTCTGGTTTCATCAAATCATCGTGGATATGCATGCATTTTCTTTGTTTTGATGCATTTGATCCAAGTGCATGCAGAGTCAGAGCCTAGTGAAAGTTTCAAGTTATATGTAACATCTCCTTGTTGGAGATGACTGATTTTTAGGGTCACCGGGAAAATATAAAAGTCTTTGAACACTATGACAAGTTTTAGGATACATTGAAGTTTTATGGAAAATTGTTCCCATCCCTGAAAATTCTTATATAAGAATAATAATACAAAATTTTCACTCACCCATCACTATTGTTACTTTCTTCTTGCATTTCTTTGACGTCACTGACCAAAATGACCACGTGATACTAGTACCATTGGGGCATAATGGATTTCTGACGTCATACTTTCCTTAACATCATTCAGTTTCTTTCAATGCTTAATTTTGTCTTACACTGAAAACTCGTAATATAGTCTTACAACATGCTATATTACGAGTTTTCGTAATTTAACTATATTACGAAAAATAGTAATATAAGAATAATATTACGATACCCTGTAATACACTGGTTCGTATTTACTGCTTAATGGATTCTTTGCCCAGTCTCGATTTCTTTGACCCTGTTACACTGATTCTTACCTTAATGGAGTCTTTGCCCAGTCTCGATTTCTTTGACCCTGTTACACTGATTCTTACCTTAATGGAGTCTTTGCTTGATTTCTTTGACCCTGTTACACTGGTTCTTACCTTTATGGAGTCTTTGCCCAGTCTCAATTTCTTTGACCCTCTTACACTGGTTCTTACCTTAATGGAGTCTTTGCCCAGTCTTGATTTCTTTGATCCTGTTACAATGGTTCTCACCTTTATAGTCTTTGCCCAGTCTTGATTTCTTTGACCCTGTTATGCTGATTCTCACTTTTATGGACTCTTTGCCCAGTCTTGATTTCTTTGACCCTGTTACGCTGATTCTCACTTTTATGGACTCTTTGCCCAGTCTCGATTTCTTTGACCCAGTTACACGGTTCTTACCTTAATGGAGTCTTTGCCCAGTCTTGATTTCTTTGATCCTGTTACAATGGTTCTCACCTTTATAGAGTCTTTGCCCAGTCTTGATTTCTTTGACCCTGTTACGCTGATTCTCACTTTTATGGACTCTTTGCCCAGTCTCGATTTCTTTGACCCAGTTACACTGGTTCTTACCTTTATGGAGTCTTTGCCCAGTCTGGATTTCTTTGATCCTGTTACAATGGTTCTCACCTTTATAGTCTTTGCCCAGTCTTGATTTCTTTGACCTGTTACGCTGATTCTCACTTTTATGGACCCTTTGCCCAGTCTCGATTTCTTTGACCCTGTTACGCTGATTCTCACTTTTATGAAGTCTTTGCCCAGTCTTGATTTCTTTGATCCTGTTACACTGGTTCTTACCTTTATGGAGTCTTTTCCCAGTCTCGATTTCTTTGACCCGTATCCTGATTGGTTTGTGTCCTTCTGTCGTTCATGATATGAGTAAACTGTTCCAGCCGTGCAATTCCTGGAGTGACGAGTCATTTTCTCTCTTTTGTAAGAGATTAATTTATTAAAAAATCTTATCAGGATCAGAAATAGTTCATTTTTCAATGACATTGTATCAACAAGGGGTAGTTAATGCAAATAAATTTTTGACTTGATTTAAAAATTCTGATATATGTTATGAGATTAAAAGAAAAAAATACAGGGTCCATGTATTTCATTCATACTAGATTACATATTATTTTAAGAATATAAGCATGAGGTTTTGACAATAATTTCAATTTCAGATCTTTAAATCCATGACACAACTTGTGTTTCTTAGAGCTAGTGAGAAAAATCCATTCATACAGCTATTAAAAGCTGGAAACTCAGACTGTCTGCAGAACCTTATTAATTTTTCTAATTGCCAAGTTAAACTACAACATTTGCCATGAATATTAAATAAATGATGCTCTTATGGACAGGCAGAATAGCTAGATAGTGAACATAAATTTTTATAATTTCAAAATTAAATCACATTGTATAAGTTTCTAAACAATGTATGAATAAACAGTAAATTTTATGAATTAATGATAATGTTATTTGTGTTAATATCAATAATAAAGTTTTATCTGGTAAGTTGTTTATTTTTGTTCTATAAAACAGTGAAATGCGCGACTTTTTGTATTTGCAAAAGGTCGTCGCGCGTTTTCTCCCCCAAAAAATTTTGGCCATGTTGACAGGTATGCGACATTTAAAAAAAAAAAAAAAAGCACTGTAGAGGCATAATAACAAATGCATACGGTTACAGATTGTATGATAAGTAATGCATCGAATCCTCAAACAATTAAATTATTAAATTTTTAAAAAGTATTTTCACTCACATCTCTTCACGGGGAAATAGAATTGTCTGCTTTTCATAAAATAGAAACATATTCTAAAATAGCTAAATAAAGCTATTTTATATAGGTAAATAAAGCTATATAGCCTAATATAGGTAAATTTAGCTACATAGCTAAATATAGTGATTTTCCTGGACCTGGTGTACGCAGTTGTGAAGTCAAAAGTGTTGAAAAGCCTGAGTTGTGTTCATCAAAATTTCAAGGAAATTCAAAAGAATTTATTTATTATCGTATTTAATTAAAATAAACGATTTTTGTCCATACTATTTACATGAAATGTGAATGAATATTCAACTTACCTCGACTTAGCTTACTCTGCTTAGTTGATTATTTTGGTAAACACCTCAAATCGGAAACAGTAAGTTCGATACTAAATTTCAAAACATTCACGAATTTTCAGAATCCGAAATGTGTTTTGGTTGACCGATAGGTTATAAACATGATAAATATATTAATACAGAGACAAAAATAACAGTGTTATTTCTGTCGGTGATTATTATCAGCACCCATTCCAGTTATTAAGCTTAATGAATCGTATACTATACATGACCGTAGAGAAGCCGGGGGTAAGGGGGGGGGGGAGGGGGGGGGGCTTGCACCCTTAACTTTTGTTGCTATGCAAAACAGATACTACTTGTATATGCTCGTGTCCTCTCATTTGATTTAGTCTTAGGTCTGCGCCTTATATAACTTAGCAGCCTGCAGGAACGTAGCGTCTTTTTAATGTTGGTGTAGGGGACAGCCACTGAGAGGGGAAAAGGATATTAAGTTCAAAGGCAACAAATTTTGATTTCTGAAAATGAATTGAATTCAACATGGGAGGAAAGGCTTAAATTTCAAGTAACATTCTAAAAGTTAAAATGCTATTTGGAAAGAAAAGCAGGAACACCACACTCTCTCCTCTTTCCGATGCTACATGCCTATTTAGGTGAGGCATAAATTAATGGTGCAAATCTGTAATACAGAACATGTACATTGTGTAGACGGTTCTGCATGTTTGATATTGAAAAGAAACCAGATAATTATATACATATTTCCCTTCTAATAGCTATACTTTTATTACAAAGATTATTAAAAAAAAATGACTACACACAAAATCTGTGAAAATGGACGATTTTTCTTTTTTCTCGTTCAAACTAGATTATAAATAAATATGATTTTAACCAGTCACAGATGTAACAAAGTGAAAATCATATTTTAGAGACTTCAAGTTTAAAAACTGAATTTTCAAGTTGATATGGGATGGGGATAATTTATGCATAGATTATTTAGTTATTCAATACTGAGGAAGAACAAGAAAAATCATCTCCCTTGTCAATTTTAAGTATCGTAAGCGTTGTTTTGGGTTTTTATTTTACAGATCTCTTAATAAATCCTTTCAGATGTTCAGAAAATTACGTTGTTGCCTTGTGATTTCTAACTCTTGCATTGCTTAAAAATATTATGTGCATATTTTCATCGTGATTAAGGGGAATATGATAATCATTTAGTGAAATTATCCATTGATTTCTAATATTGCATTTGAACTGAATTCAACATGGGAGGAAAGGCTTAAATTTCAAGTAACATTCTAAAAGTTAGATTTCACCTTACTGTACTTCAGCATGACTTAATGTAAAGTTTATCCACAGGCACCTGAAGTATGGATAATACCCCCCCCCCTTTTTGTTAATGGAAAAAAAATGTAAGAGTGTATAATATCTCAAAAATATAAAATTTCCCCGTCAAACACATCTATATGTCGTTATATGCAAGCAGATTGTACTTTTTCGCACGTTTAAAGAATGACCCTATTCGGTATAATAAAAATACACGTTTATTATACCGAATAGGGTCATCCTTTAAACGTGAGAAAAAGTACGATCTGCTTGCATATAACGACATATAAATGTGTTTGACGGGGAAATATTATATTTTTGATATATTATACACTCTTACATTTTTTTCATTAACAAAAAGGGGGGGTATTATCCATACTTCAGGTGCCTGTGGTTTATCTTGTTAAAGAACTACTTAATTCATTATCACTGTAAATACAGGCCGATGTGTTAAAATGTCTTTTTTCATAGTTACATATTTTTGGTGTAAGAGAAACACATGGTTAAATTTTATTATTTTTTGAAATTTAATTCATAGCATTTATCAGAACTGTTAAAACGAAAATGTCTTAAACAAAATTCACAAAAACTGACACACATGTAATTATGAGCTTTTTCACTAAATATACAGACTATATGATAAAGAACTATTTACTTCAAGTTTTAGTATTCCAGTGTTCCCTTTAATTCTAAACATTAAATAAAAGGTAAATTAAGTTGCCTTTTGTTATATCACCACGTGGTTCCTATTTACACTGACTGTAAATGGCATCAAAGTGACCACACCCATCTCTTTCATCACCTGCATAGTGATAATCAAATATGTACTTGTTTAGTAAATATATATAGAAGAGAGGCCCATAGGCTATCATGTTTACCTGAGGAACTATGCATGGCCTGCTATTCCCAAGATTTTTTTTTTGGGGGGGGGGATCTTTTTTATTCACATTGCTATGGACTTGCCGAAACCAGTAAGGTGTACAATGGCGAAATTACGGTGTGGGGTGCTCCCCCTGCGTTTCGAGACTGGTCGCTATCGTGGAGAGCCAATTCCAGATAGAATATGTAATCTCTTTGATCTGAACGAAGTAGAGCATGAACTTCATTTTCTTTTAAATCGTAATTTATATAAAATCCGTAGACAAGACTATCTAAGAAATATTGGAATTTTAAATTTACATAATAATGATTCAAATGTTTTCTCGTTAATCTGCAAATTTTATTTATAAAGCCTATAATATAAGACAAAGAAAAATCACACGCATGCAAGTTATATATATGCTAAAAGTGACTTACAGGTCCGATGGGCCGGGTGTTCTACATATAAGATTAATTGTATAATGAATGTTAAAAATTACGTACTGTATACACATGTCACTGTAATAAAATATTTACTTACTTACTAACTTACTGACATAGACAATTTAGATTCCATATATTGTGACTCCACATTAGCCCAAACAAATTATGATTAAACATAATTAAATGAATCCATATGACATGGCTACATGTATACTTGTATGCTTCAATGTTCATATTATTTTCAAAAAGAGTCTTATAAAAAAAAGTATTTCAAAATAACGGATTTATTCCTTTATACAGGCATTATGTAAAATTTGATACCTGGTGTAGCCTCAACCTAATCGAAGCAGCCATGCTTTAGAGTTGGGGTAAGAACGTCAGACAACGGACGAAGTTTGATCAGGAAGGCTCACTATAGTTCAGGTGAGCTAATAAATTATCTAAATCATGTTTTACGCTTGAGAATACTGTTTAATTAGCATTTTATTACTAATTACTCTAAATTGAATTTTTAAGTTCATTAAAATCAATAACTAATTCTCGCGTAAATTTGTTTACGTGCTGTAAAATCTCAGACAATCTAAATAATATTACTATCTTGTTGGTCATGGGTTGAAGAACCTTTACATATAAGAATATATTTATATGGTAACACTGCCGTATTGTCCAGACCAACAGAAATAAAATTAAATTTGGTTGTGAAAGGCAGTTAGAGCCTAACAACCCATCCCACCCCCTTTTCAAGTTTTCTTTGTAAATAAAAGCTTTTCAGCTGAGTTGTCAATTTTTTTTTCTGGTATCCCCTTTAAAATGCTTGAGAAAAAATGTATTGAGAAAGGAGGAGGCATGAAAAGATTCTGATTCACAATCGTAACAGTTGAAAATATATACCAACATCATTTCATCTTTCAAATTCATTTATAATTGCAAATAACTATTGGCTGTGAGTTTCTTTTAAATGTACAAATATATGAAACTCATGGTAGATATACAGAAAAAATGCAATGTTTAACCACAGTATATTTTCTACGAAAGCCCAGAAGGCTCATTCGAGATTCGAAGTTCAAAATACGAAATTCGAGATTCACAAAAGGCGAAATTCCCAACTTTAACCAAAATATATAACATTTGATTACTCCCCTTTATTATGATTTTACTATCAAGAAACCGTTTAATATATTTATAAATGAGTAATTTGATTAAATTACAATGCAAGAAAGAGTATTATATATATTAGAAGGAAATTTAAATAATCATTGGATTTTTGATCAGCAAGATATACTTCAATTTATATTATGGCTTCTTAAATATTAAATAGAATACATATATCAAGAGTATATATATTTTTTGTATTGTCTACTTTGTTTCCGGGGTTGATGACATATAAAGAAAGTTATAAATAAGTATCAAGTGTCTAAAAATTAACTATAACCCCACCCCTACCCACCTCACCTGCCTATTTTTCCAGACACACTGAAAATGTTACTATGTAAAGCTTGAAAGGCGACGTAGTATTGAAAAACAAAAATCGCGTTCGTTTTCCTGATAGAGGAAATACATAAAAAATTAAGTATTAATTACTTATCTTCATCTAAGGCTTTGATTTCTTGAATTAATTAAAAATCATATATACAATACAGATTTGCAATATGAATTAAAATGAATGCGACATTTATTTTATTTTATATCAATAGAAGATGAGTCTAAATTACATGCAGAACTATAGCTCTATGGTTTTAAATTTTAGTCTTTGACCATACCGTTATGACCAAAGACTAAAATATACTCCTGAAACCTTAAGGTAGTCCGATCTTCAGGTTCACAAAATTAACAGTTAAGTAATTGAAAATACTCAAAAATATCCCTGAATCCACAAAGTAATGTAAATTTACCCACAGTTTTTTTTTAAAGTTAAACATTAAAGTTAATCATGTTATATAGGGGAAATTGTCAAATCTCCAATATCTATGTAGAAAAAAGCGAATAGGAATATCACTTATACATTTTCTATTTGCAAATTGATCAACAAATACATTTAAGGTTAAAAAACAATAGGTATCCAGGCATTCAGAGAAATTATCATGATTTTTATACTTATTTGGTATTCTATGTCTTCTATTTCCTTCATGTATTATATAATACATAGTGTAAAATGCTTTTGCTATCATTGCAAGACATCACAAATCACTTCTAATTTCATATCATGCTAATTAGCATTGGTATCTAAGACTCAATTAAAGAAAATCTTATTTCTCTAAAACTGTATTTATTTTTTCCTTTTATATGGTAAAATTGTCAATTTTTCACAAGACCTTTTTTAAGACTTCCAAAAACCTTGAATCATATAAAGATGAATAAAATGAAAATTGTTGCATGAAAAAAATCACTTTCAAGCTTTATAATAATGCTTTTTAAATTAAATATTGATTTTTGGAGTTATCCTTCCTAGCTGAGGATCGGATATCCTTAATACGCTACAGTTCGATTCAGCAGCCAAGTCTCACTGCACAAATGTACCCTTTATAAATGTAATGAAATATATACCCTTGAATTTGTGCAGTATAGAGAGATTCATAATACTAGTATTTCTTATCTAATTATAATCAAATATAATATTCTCCCTCAGCAATGATCTGATTAAAAAAAAAAGTCGATCTACTTGTTCCGCAAGTCAACGATAAGACAATATAATATTCCATATATATGTATTTACTATTTTGTTCCATGAGAAAAATAAAATTATACATGTATTTTTCAAAATGTAATCCAAATTTTATTTTTATTTCGTTTTAATACATAAAACATTTTTTTTCGCTTTATCATTTTAGCAAATGACCCATTTGTTTTAAATATATTCAACGATTTCCTGATAGTAAAAACATAACAAAGGGACGTAATCAAATGTTGAACCCGCTTTTGATTGGTTAGTTTGGATATATTTCGAAACTCGAAAATCTCGTTTTTCAAAACTTGAATCTCGAATGAGCCTTCTGGGCTTTCGTAATATTCTCATCACCCATATTGTAAAAAACAGTTTTCAAAGCAGTAAACAGTGATTACATCTGACAAGTTCGCTCAAGTGCAATGTCCTTAAAATTTACCACAGCTTCTAAAAAAAATTATATGGTAGAAAATGAAAAAGAAGAATCAAATTAAAAGTATTTACTAAAGTAAATAAAAGCACATATGTTTTTCTTTTCCACAATAAAATTCATCAATATAATTTTTAATCATAGATCACAAATCTTCATTTAGATTTTACTTTATAATATAAATCAGACAGTAAACTTGATTATTCAAATAATTATCAATTCACACTAATGGTACTGTGATCACTGAGCTCACTAAATGATGCCCCCACCTCCCATACGGTTATAATGGCAAAGTCTATGTCTTCCTCTGGTAGACCCGAAATAATTGTCAAATCAAAATGGGATATAGGAGGTGCACAAAGGCATTATGTGATAAAGAATCTGTGAAAGTGGTACAGAAGGAGATGCAGATAAGAGATGGGTACCCTTCAATATTACAGAAAAAAGGCAGTATCAATGTTTTGCTATGGGAAACCCGAAATACGTTTCCGATCAAAAAGTAAAATGGAAGGTGCACAATTACACTATGTAACAAAGAATCTGTGAAAGTCTGATTGCATTTCATTCAGTGGTATAGAAGGAGTTACGGATAAGAGATGGGTGCCCTTCAATATTATAGAAACTAGAGGTACTGTGAGCAATTAGCTCACTAAATAATACCCCCGCCTCCCATATGATTATAATGACAAAGTCTCTGTTTTGCCCAAGGAGAACCGAAATAAGTGTCAGATCAAAAAGTAAAATAGGAGGTCATAAAGCCATTAAGTATCATTAAATTTTATTTAGTGGCGTAGGAGGAGTTGCAGATAAGAGATGGGTAACGCTAAATATTATAGAAAAAATGGCAGTGTCAATGCTTTGCTTTGGAAAACGCAAAATATGTTTCCAATCAAAAAGTAAAATAGGAGGTGCACAAAGGCAATATATTGCAAAGATTCTGTGAAAGTCTCATTAAATTTCATTAAGTGGTAAAAGAGGAGTTGCGGATAAGAGATAGGTACCTCAAAGCGTGATAGACGGACGGACGGATGGACGGGCGGACGTACAGACAGACGGACGGACATCCCGATTACTATATATATACCCTCCCGCTTTTCAAGCGGGGGGTATAAAAATGGCCGTGTCCATGTTTTGCTCTGGGAAACCAAAAATATGTGTCGAATCAAAAAGTAAAATAGGAGGTGCATAATGGCACTATATAAAAATGTGTGTCGGATCAAAATGTAAAATAGGAGGTGCACAATGGCAATATGTAATAAAGATTCTGTGAAAGTTTCATTAAATTTCATTCAGTGTTATAAGGGGAGTTGCGGATAAGAGATGGGTACCCCAAAGCGTAAATGATAGAAGGGCGGACAGACAGACGGACGGGCGGACATACCGATTACAGTATACCCTCCCACCTTTCAAGCGGGGGTTGTAATGATTCTGTGAAAGTCTCATTAAATTTCATTCAGTGGTATAAGAGGAGTTGCGAATAAGAGATAGGTACCCCAAAGCGTAACAGACGGAAAGATGGACGGACATCCCGATCACTAAATATCCCCCCCCCTTTTCAATCGGGAGTATAAGCTGGTAATAGTAAGGTATATTCAAGTACTTTTTTATTGGGCTTTGATAGATGTACAGTATTGAGGAAGAGATTGTTCATGTTTCAAAAATATGTCTACAGACGATTTGAAGGATAAAGAAAAGATGACATCTTTTTCTGATAAGAAAAAGACTGGACCTGCTGTAACCAAACAGGAAAACCAAAAAATAGAAGTACTGTGAGCACTTAGCTCACTAAATGATACCCCGCCTCCCATATGGTTATAATGGCAAAGTCTGTATTTTGATCTTGAAAACCTAAAATAAGTGTCAGATTAAAAAGTAAAATAGGAGGTCACATGTAATCTAGCATTCTGCAATAAAGAATCTATGAAAGTACTAGTATCATTTAAAAATTTAAAATTTTATTCAGTGGTATAGGTGGAGTTGCGGATAAGAGATGGGTACCCTTCAATAATGGGGGGAAAAACTAGCCTAAGAGGTACTTGAGCAATGAGCTCAGTACATGTAAACGATACCCTCGCCTCCCATATGAATATAATGGCCGTGTCCATGTTTTGCTATGGGAAACCCAAAATATGTGTCGGATCAAAAAGTAAAATAGGAGGTACACCATGGCAATATGTTTAATAAAGATTCTTTGAAAGTCTCATCAAATTTAATTCAGTGATACATGTATGAGAGGTGTTTTGGGCAAGAGAAGTTCACCTTAAAGCGTAACTGACGGAAGGACGGACATCCCTATTACTATATATATCCTCCTGCTTTTCAAGCGGGGGGGGGGGTAAAAAAAATGACCGTGCTTATGTTTGATTTGTTCTGGGGACCCAAAATATTTGTCCGATCAAAAAATAAATTTATAGTATTTGCCTCTATTTCTAGTATCATATGGGAGGCGGTGTATCATTTTGTGAGCTCAGTGATCACAGTATTTCTAGTTTTACAATTCAATTTTTTATACGACAAATTTTTACATTAAAAACGTTTTATATATTTATTGCATTTTTTACAAAAAAACATGACAAATAAGATGTTTAAGTATTGCGTTTTAAATTTTATTCGTGATAAATGATTTCATTACAAATTGTTCTTGTAACCTTAATCATTGTAGCTGACATAATCATCAATTTTCTACAAGTAGCTGCCTAATAAATTGTTTCAACATTAATGTCACTCATAAGTATACTAATTCCGACTGTACAGCCTATTAAAACAATTTAAAGTATTTATTATCTCTTGAAATTTTAGTAAACTATGCACTCATATACTAGTAAACATTTGCAAAAATTTAAAGGTATATCCTTCCTCACAATTTTATGGGTTCAAAGTAGAAAAAATGCATTTATTTTCATTGAATATTGTTTGAATTAACTAATAATGGCAAAAATGTATTAGGTTGCCATTTTTTTAAGTAGTAAGACAATATTAAACAGAAGTGTATGTCAGCATTATAGACTGTTCATTTTTAGTAAACAGTATTATAAAAGTAAGGTAAAGACTGGTTAAAATATATTCTGAAGCTTAAAGTTCCAAAGTATTTGCTACGTACTTTATAAGATACTAGAATTGTGAATATCAGGGAAAGCAAGTGATATAATATGTACAATAAAGAAAATGCCTGAATACATGAAGAGTTATTGCCCTTGGCAACATTTTTAATGATTGAATTTTAATATTAAATTAAATAAAGAAAATATTAATTTTTATAATTCTTTTACTTAACATTTAGTTGTATTACACTTACATTATGTATTGAAAAGAATTCATCCAAAAATACTTCTTTGATGAGTAGGAATTTAGATTAATGACATTATTTGACATCACAGGAAGGTGGAAATGACTTAAATCTCCTTAGAGTTTTAACAAAACTACATGTAAACGTAATAATGCTGGTTACAGTATGGTCCGATGGGGTCCCTTCAAATATCGTGAATGTTATAAAGGACGAATGCTTTGTTTAAATTTTAACTATTTTCCTTCAGTTGTCATGACTCTGACAGGACCAAGCTCTAATCTGTTAGCTAGTCAACTTCGTTATTCAAAACCATGGTAACAACCATGCCATGTAGTCTACCGATTTTGGAAGCTCTTAATAGATTCAATCTGGATAAATAGATTTCATCCTTTACGTAAGTGTTTTTGACGATCAAGCAAATCAAACATCAGTACATGTAGTTTCTATATAGGAAGTATTAAAAATAGGATAAAGAAGCATCTTTATACATGTGCACATTTATCCAAAAAGATGAAGAGTCATATTTGAATCATTTCTTCCCACAATAACAGTTCGCTTTCCAAAGCCCACGTGATGTCCCTGGTACCCGTATTTCAAACACCCCGATGACGCATACCAATCACAGTTTCCGGTGATCGATTCCGGAAGTGAATAGTAGTAACCTTCAGCAGTGGCACTTGCTGGAAGATTCATCAAAATATCCAGACCCTCTTTCTCCTCAAGAAATGGTTTGTTCTCATCGACACTGGCTACCACAATGTTCCTCCCATGAAATCTAAATTTAGTAAAACCTCCACAAGTGCTCATCCAGTGTTTATCAGAACCATCTATTGGGTCATACACAACAGTGAACCAATGTCGCCATGGATACTTATTTTGTAAATGGTTATACAACATGTTGGCAAAGGAATAATGATCTAAATCATCTTTGGTATCAGCCATCTGAATCACATCAATTTCTGCTTGTTCCCGCCACCTTGACCTTACTATCTGGTCAATTTTTGTCATTTGCTGCGTAACCTCTCTAATTTTTTTGCCCCAATCACGTTTCATATATTTATAACTCTCGGAGTAATTTTTCACGATCAGATACGACATTTCAACGTTGACTCCTTGCAGCAACAACTTTAGCATATTCATCATAAAAAGTTGCATCAGTTCTGCATTGTATGAAGTTAAAGGAATGGCGATGTTAAAAATGCTCCTGTGGAACAAGTTATTTTCGTTCATTATGGAATACAGTAATTTTTTAGCACTGTTCTGAAAGTCAGATTCATAATTAAGGATAAATAACTGCACCTGCTCTGAGAATGCCTCTGGAGGTACGCTGTGTAAAATTTCGAGTTCCTGGGCGGCTACCCGAATCTTCTGCTCCGTTTGTCCAAGTTGTATCTGAATACGTTGTTCCTCTAATTTCTGCATCATGCCGTTGAAGTCCCTGGACATACCTTTAAACTGACGATCTACTTCGATTAGGAGGTGCTTTAACAAGCTAGAATCCGTTGACAGAGGATGAGTTGATGTCTCTTCTTTAAGATGTTTCAAAGCAGGAGCGATCATTTCTGTGAATGTTTCAGCCATAGCACCAACACTTTTTATTTTTTCTACAAAAGATCCACTTATATCATCCAGAGATTTGGCAGTTTCTAGAACATCTGTAACATTTTGTAGCAGTACGCTTTCGTGTTTAGTTTTCCCTGCCAACATAAATGTCCATAAAATCCCAATGAAAAGCTTAACACTCTGCTCCATTACGTTAAGCTTCTAACAATGAAATGAGTGTTTTAATAACTACAAGAATACAGAGTGCTAATTGAAACAAATAAATCACGCTAAACATGACTCTACATTTTTAAGAAGAAATTTGCAAAACATCTACATCAAATATTAAATTAACATAGGAAAATGATGTTACTAATGTGTTGTCATCCACAAAATTAAGCCTATATAACAAACATTAATACGAGGTCAAAGGTAAAAGAAAATATTAAAATAATTGCTTAACAAATGGTTTAGAATTTTTAATGAGGTTCCAGGTTTGTATATATTATTTAAGGTTGTACCTAAAGATATTTTTAAATAAACGCCTTAATTTTTTAATTTTTTTAAAACAAGAAATGAATATTCACAAAAGTATGAAAATTGATTGTCGATTTTTCGGAAACCGAATTTCGTTGACTTTATTATCGGTTTTTGCAACATTTTAGATGCTAAAGTTACAAATCATACTGTCATATAAGGAAGATTCGTTTCTGCATTTCTATATTTTTATGTAATTAGTGCACAATAAAACGAAAATAGTCTGACTTCCTCGCTGTGATTAATGCACTCTTTTCTAAAATAAAACCCATATGGTTCATGCGTTTTGTAAGTTTACTTCGACTTGTATATCTTTGTGTACAGATGTGCAAGAAGAGTGGAGGCATGGAATTTAGTTTATAATTTCATATACATGCATTATTTAAATTCGAAAAATTTTTATCCACATTCTGAAAACATTATTTTGGAATTTTTTTTTGTAATTCAAGGCAAAACAAAACGTTTTTTTTTTTTTTTTTGGTTTAAAAACGTGAATAATATTTTACTTCGGACAAGTTTATTTATCATCTACTTACTATTTTGAGAAACGTATCGGAGCATAAAAACTTAATAATTTATATATCTTTCAAACGTTGTGCATTATTCTTTCACATTATGAACATTTCTTAAAGATAACGGTTTCTTTTTAAACGTTTTTTACCAAAAAAAATACAATGTACGTTTTCAACGTCTTTTTAATAATTTAGAGACCTTAAATACTCTAACATATGTTTCCTTCATTTTGCAAGATGATGAGTTGATGTGTAGTCTGTGGTATGTCATTATTAAACTAATGACACATAACAGCCAAAGGCCTTTGTCAGGGACTTTGGGGAGAGGGGTTGCGGTTTTATTGGATAGTGTGCGGCTGCGATAATATTTTATCAGTGCATCTCTTCGCTTTTGGGGAACATCTAAATATATGTTTATACATGTTAATTACAAAAGTGTATATTTAATATAATCCTGGTAATGTATTAAAAATAGTTTTTTCTTTTCCTTTTTTTCCCCTTTTTTTTTCTTTTTTTTTTTCTTTTGGCATTTGACTTTTTCAATAAATTTAAAAGCAAAAATAAAATGAACCCTGACCACGATAGACAGAAGACAAGTTAGTACATGTACATTGTATACTAGTATTAGGTACACGTGATATCTTATATGTGCATGATTGTGTCAACGATTCACAGCTTAACAAAGAACCGAAAATTTTTATTTAAATATATTTTATTGAAACACAATCAAAGGGATTGGAAACAAAATATTACAACTTTGATTGTCCTCTCCATCGCAAACAAAATGACAAAACTTAACAGATACATGTACAGGTGATGTACAACCAACAAAGAAGGAAAGAAAATGGATTGTAAAAGATGCAGAATGCAATACAAAAAATCTTTCATTCTTAACATAAGCAACAAAAAATAATTTCAGAAAATTTGCATTGCATTTCTTTTTTATTGCAATAAATCAAAAAAAGTGTTTAAATGATTATTAATCGCACATACTGTGATTTAAAAGAGACCATTCCATTTCTCTTGATTTCTTAACTTCACTTTCGATCAGAAAGATCGAGCTTTATCTCAAGGACTAAAAGATTAAATTGGAATTTAAATTCATAAATAATTCATACCCAAATCAAAGCTTTTTCGGAGTAAATCAGAGAAGCCCCACCATGAATCGACGCCGATTTCATTACAATCTCTGTATGCTCCATGCTGTCATCTCAAGTCTCGGGCCGCGCGCGAAAACGCCAGCCTCCATATCAAGTAGAAAATGGAGGTTTTCATTTCCTCGATAGAGGCACTCCCTTGTCGTAATAATACAGAGGGAAGCCCAATGTGTACAATTTTTTGAAAGAATTGAATAAAAATTCTGCAAATTAGTTCCCAGTTTAACAGTAATTTCCTCCCTTTGATGAGAGAATTGACAGTGAATATGTTTAATTAAACGGACGGTTATTCATCAGCGAGTAGTTTTAATATTGGCCATCGAGTACATTGCAACCTTACAAGTATCTTTTGTCTCCCTTATCAAGAAATAACACACAAATCAAGATAATTAATTCTTCTAGAAATTGGTTATAAAAGATGAGACGCAAAATAACGATAATATACAACATTTGTCATGGAGGGATTACAAAGTGTGGAAAGTGGAAAAGAAGTTGATGTTGAAAACGAGGCTACGGAATATAGCGATTCTGATGACGTTTTGACTGTAGATTCAGACACAATAGTTCCTACATGTATGACTTCCGCTACAGAAGAAAAAAGAAACGAGGTACAACCAACTAATAGTTCCATTCTAAAGTTCTCAATCAGCAATATTCTGAGACTTCCAGACGGAGAATGTATCCCAAAAACGACCAACATAACAGGTTAGTCATGGTAGTACACATGAACCTGAAGGAGATGTTAAATAAATCTAAACAGTTTTGCCTCTGAGAATTCAATGTGATTTCTTCTTTGGTTTTGAATCTGTGAGAGATCTTACTTCAAAGTTCAAGACTGAGATGAAACTTTTGTACCTGTAATAAAAGAGATAAGAATTATAATGCACTTTTGGATATGAAAAAAAATTAGAGAATAATGCATATCCATTTAGAAATCACTAGTAATTTCCAAGTTACTTTCTGTTGAGAAACAGTTTATGGGAGGACTTTTTCAAATATTTTTTACCTTTGTTTTATTTCGCATATTTCGTCGATTTTTTTTTCTACCAACTCCTTTAATTTATTTTTTTTATCTTAATCATATATTTCATAAATGCTTAATTGATGCTAAAGCTAAAGGTACATGCAAATCTGATAGGGCTGTAATTCGTCCAGTTTTTTCCCTCGTGTTTTTTCCTTTTTTGTTTGATTTTCTTCTTTTGTTTTTAGATCTTTTTTTGCCTGTTTGTTAACTTTTTCAATACGTATATATATCTTTTTTTATTTCTGCTTTGGGTACACCTCGGAATGGTTTCTATTTCTTTGATACTGACAACAATATTATAAAAATAATCTTCTGAAAAGTGATTTGAATTTACTTTTTCTTGGATCTTAAAAGAAAAAGAGAGAAAGGTTAAATCAAAATTAATCGATAGAAGCACACTGTTCAATAATGAAAATTAGACTATATTCAGATTTGTAACATATTGCGTGTGTGTGTGTTGTCAGAGCACGTGCATATCATATCGTTTACAAAGCATTTGATGTTTCTTGTCATGTAGGAAACTGCGAGATTAACGAAACAAGTCTTGTTGTGCGGAAATAAACACAATTTTTTTTGGTAAAAATTTCTAATACAGGGCTGGGCGTGTATTTATAAGTAATAATTTTTATATAATTATTCAAATTAAGATATCGATAATTAAAACATTGCTGTGATGTCATTCCTTTGTTCTCGCAGTCTAAAATTTTACCTGTGGCAGTCCGATATTAGTGAGCAGTCTGATATTAATCGTAATATCAGACTGTCTCAGTACTGATATCCTTCAAAATTGGACTGCTACTGAACAAAAGAAATAAAAAGTGTGATAATTTAACATAAGCAATTTAAATTTCTCACATAGAATGATGATTTTGAAACATTGATCTTTCAGAATTTCAAAATTTGAAAAAAAAAATTAAAACTTCCAATAACACCGAATGTATTGAAGAAGAACATGCGACAGACCAGATAATATAAATAACAAGCTAATTCGGAGAATTTGAGTCCCCCGCTTAGGGAAAAAGTGAACCATGCGCAGTTCGATGGGGGGGGGGGGGGGGGGAGTCGGATGCCCCTGACTGAATTTGTAGAATTATTAAATGTATACATGTATACTGAAACAAATAAAATATGCCAATATGGATATAAAGGTCTGATTGCTTATTCTTTATTATGTGTAGAGAAGATTCTTGTTGTACGGAATATTTATTATCACACTGTAATGAGGATTTTATGAGTTTGTACAAGCCAGACCTCATAAATTTTTCATTTCACATGCTGAATACTATCATTTAGTAAAAAAAAAATATTTCGGAAAGAAAAAGAATTTGGAACGTCCGAGATTCAAACCCGGGACCTCTCTCACGAGAAGCGAGAGACATACCACAAGACCACGGAACCGCTTACATTTCTCGAAAATTATATATGCAAACATACAGTCACATACATGTATATATTCACGATATATATTCGATATTGTCAAAATTTTACACAATGCATGGTGTCTAATTTAGCCTTTATTAAACAGTTCTAATAGATATAATAAGAATATAATGTCCGCGGAGAACCTGTTTTATACGTTATAACTCTCCTAATGCCCCTGTGCTAAAAATAGCGACACGTAATACAATAAATACTAATAAAACAAACGGGGCGGGACACTTTGAGAGTGGTGAGAGAGGTCCAAGGGAGTTTTGGTATTAAATTACATTGCAAAAGCTCAAAATCTTCTTGAAATATCGCCCGAAAACGATAGTGTTACACAAAGGACAGAATGTATAAATTTACGACCTTGAACTTTAACCTTTTGACCTCAAAATCAATAGGGGTCTTCCTTAGGCCACAGGGAGTTGCTATGTAAAATTTCATTGCAAAAGCTCAATAGGGTTCTTCTTTAGTCCTTCTTTAGAAGAACCCTATTGATTTTGAGGTCAAAAGGTCAAGGTAATAAATTCACAAAATCTGTCTGTTATAACACTTTTGTTTCCGCGCGATATCTCGAGAACTCTTTGAGCTTTTGCAATGAAATTGACTGTATGTTTGCATATAATTTTCGAGAAATGTAAGCGGTTCCGTGGTCTTGTGGTATGTCTCTCGCTTCTCGTGAGAGAGGTCCCGGGTTTGAATCTCGGACGTTCCAAATTCTTTTTCTTTCCGAAATATTTTTTTTTTACTAAATGATAGTATTCAGCATGTGAAATGAAAAATTTATGAGGTCTGACTTGTACAAACTCATAAAATCATCATTACAGTGTGATAATAAATATTCCGTACAACAAGAATCTTCTCTACACATAATAAAGAATAAGCAATCAGACCTTTATATCCATATTGGCATATTTTATTTGTTTCAGTATACATGTATAAATTTAATAATTCTACAAATTCAGTCAGGGGCATCCGACTCCCCCCCCCCCCCCCCCCCCCCCCCCATCGAACTGCGCATGGTTCACTTTTTCCCTAAGCGGGGGACACAAATTCTCCGAATTAGCTTGTTATTTATATTATCTGGTCTGTCGCATGTTCTTCTTCAATACATTCGGTGTTATTGGAAGTTTTATTTTTTTTTTTCAAATTTTGAAATTCTGAAAGATCAATGTTTCAAAATCATCATTCTATGTGAGAAATTTAAATTGCTTATGTTAAATTATCAACTTTTTATTTCTTTTGTTCAGTAGCAGTCCAATTTTGAAGGATATCAGTACTGAGACAGTCTGATATTACGATTAATATCAGACTGCTCACTAATATCGGACTGCCACAGGTAAAATTTTAGACTGCGAGAACAAAGGAATGACATCACAGCAATATATCCAATACATATCGTACATTATTTAAGTGCATTTGTTAAAGGTTTAGCTTTCCTCTGACCAACGTATATATATACTTGCTTACATTTTCGTATTGTCCATATGTCGGGACATACAATAAGCACTATTAATTGTCCTGACATCTGAACAATACGAAAATGTCAGCAAGTATATACGTTGGTCAGAGGAAACCTAAACCTTTAAGCAAATGCACTTAAATAAATATACGATATTTATCGATATATCATCATTAATATTAACATCATTTATAATACTTATGATCAGGGAGGTTGTAAAGGAAATGCCACTGAAACACAAACATGCTGAAAAAAAAACGAGCTTTAGGTACTACTACAAGTATTGTAACTATGCTTTACATGAGTAAGATTTATCTTTCTTTCCATATTCTTTACATGTATTAAATTTTGTGTGCATTTTGAAATTCCCGTCTATCAATTTTGTCATAAAATTTAAAATTGATAAGAGAGATGTATGTAACTTTCCAAGATATAATCCCAATCTGTGAGGTGATTCATCTTTAGATACCTTTTTTATCTACAAAATTTGAAAGTACATTACATGCATTACCATAAAAGTTTTTTTTTTGTTGCAACGTTCTCGAAACAACCTAAATGATTACCTATCTAAGATCATCTTTCAAAATCTTGGCTATGGGCATTTTTCTTCTACATATGTATTTTCGAATTTCAGATTGAATGCCTAGCAAATTTTATTTCTATCATAACTAGATACACATGATAAATATAGTGAAACGTCTATACGTCTAGCAAATGTAAGCCCCGATGGATGAATTGACAACCAAAGGTCATTTATCCAACGTGATTTTATTTTTTGAACTTATCTACTGTAATTATTTTCATTATTCCTATTTCAGATCTTTGTTCCACTAATCTCTCTCTTTGCGACCAGAAGTCCAATGACCTCACAAGTAGTATCAAAAGTAAAAGGAACCGAACGACCTTTTCCACCAAGCAGCTGCAAGAACTAGAGAAGGCCTTCCGCAAAACACACTACCCAGACGTGTTTTTACGAGAGAAATTGGCGTCTAAAATTAAACTTCCAGAATCAAGGATTCAGGTAACTTCATGATGACTGTGAAATAATTACCCTTATAAATATACATGTTGGACAGTTTATTGCTTGACCGATTCTGCCAGGTTCTTGGATTTTGAGGTATTTCCCGTCTTTTTGCCATAGGTCATACTTACATGGTCTATACCCGTATACCCAAAGCCAACTCAAAGTAATGTACGTGCATCAATAAACATGAAAACATCAATTGATTTATTGTTTGTTTTAGTTGTTGAACGCCCCTCTCGAGAATTTTTTACTCATATACTGGTGAATGGTGACGCTACACATTTTGATAGCCAAAACCTTATGAATTTTTAGAATTTTACTTTAAAAATTTCAAAGCCCGATTTGAATTTTGAATATCAGTTCAACATTTTAATTATCATCTTGTGTAGGCTTATTTGTTTTGTTTGATATACATGTATTTTCTAAATTCAAAGCAAGATTGGAATTCATTTTTTGGATATTTGAAGTTAAATTCTATGGACCAAAAATGTAAATGTGTTTGGTTATTTAAAATTTGAGTGTTTGAATAAGTGTTCTAATTTCAAAAAAATTAAAATGTTTCGAAAGTTGAAATTAAGAAGTTAAAAGTTAATTTTAAAATATCGATATACGAAAAATGGTACTGAAGTTTAGAGTGTTAAACGTACACAAGCAATAGATTAAAACAACAAAAGTTAAAAACACCAAAATCATTTTTTGAATTTAGAATATTAAAAGTAAAATCGAAAACTTCTAAGTTTTAAACTTGTTTGGGAAAGTTTAGGATTTTGAACTAAAATACATGTATTAATAATTTAGTTCAAAATCCTAAACTTTCCCAAATTTCATTTCAGTATGTACAACGGCTGTGCAGAAAATGAACGAAAACTTGGTAGACCGACAGACAGACAGCTGCAAAGCAATATGCTCTCCCTTCTTCAAATTAAAGGGGGCATAAATATTTTAATAAATATATACTGATAAGATATGAAAATGTGAGGTTTGTTACAACGCACTTTGAATAATTACCCACTTTGATTTTTTTTTTCAAAGTGTTGGACCAAATTGAATTGTCAATCACCATATTACACGACCATATACATGACGAAATATAAAAAAAATACAAAGGATCACAAATGTATAACGGTTATTTATATTACAAGATAGAAGTCTTTATCTGTTAAATTTTACACACACACCTGTATTTTATTTTAATCATAATCCGATGTCTGAAAAATTAAACACCTGTGTGTCTTTAATATTTATTTAGCCAATAGGAACATGTTGTTACACTGTAAGTGACTCTCTTAGCATTTTTAGGTGTGAAACTATCGTCTTAGTTGTAGACGATTGTATAAAATTCCATATATTTCTACAATCCTTTCACAACTTTCATCATAATTTTTGCCGCCTTTTGCAATTGAACAAAAAAATCCAACAGAAAACCGATCGCATTGCCACTGTTTGTATATTACGATGGAGGTGTGTTTAATGCAAGATCAGTTACTTTCTGTAATGCTATGTTTTTGTTGTCCCCCGCTTTCTCGAAAGCGAGGGGACATAAAATCTCATTCGTCTGTCCGTCTGTCAGTCTGTCCGTCACAAAAACTGTAACCTTGCCCATAACTTTTGATTTAGTGGAGATACATGACTTTCATACTATACATGTGTATTCCTTGTGACAAGATCTCTCTTTGGATACCACCAAATTTGACTTTGACCTTGGAGTTTGACCCACTTTAACACAAAAATTCCAAACTTTTACTTTGGCCATAACTTTTTAATGGTACATGTAAGTACTCAGACTTTCATAATTCACATATGTATTCTTTGTAGCAAGATTTTTCATTGGATACCTACAACTTTGACATTGACCTTGGAGATTTCCATACTTATGAAAAAAAATTTAACCTTGACCATAACTTTTAAATGGTAAGGGATAGGGCTTTCATACTTAACATACATAATCCTTGTGGGAAGACCTTTCATTGGATACCAAGAACTTTGACCCTTTGACCTTGACCTTGGAATTTGACCTATTTTTTAAAAACTTTGATCTTGGCCAGAACTTTAAAAAGTAGATACCAGGAATTTCATATTTCACATGTGTATTCTTTGTGGCAAGATCTTTCGTTTGATATCAACAACCTTGACCTTTTGACCTTGACGGTTTTTTGTACTTACGAAAAAAACTTTAACCTTGACCATAACTTTTGTATGGTAAGGGCTAGGGCTTTCATACTTCACATATGTAATCCTTGTTAGAAGACTTTTCATTGGATACCAAGAACTTTGACCCTTTGACCTTGACCTTGGAATTCAGTGATCATTTCTAAATAAATGACATATGATAGGGTGTTTATATTACACACAATATGTCATAAAAATGACATCTCACCTACAAAGACACCGAAAGCGGTGGACCACAATTCCTTAATTCAATTTGCTTGTTTAATTTGCATTTAAGAAAAGTTTAATCTTCGTTATGTTGCCATACGGGGTCATCAGTGTTTCACAAACACATCTTGTTCCTAATATATTGAGAAGAGATAGGACTTTCATATTTGACATGTGCATTACCTGTGACAAGATAATTCCGAGTATGCTATGATTTGTTACCCCTTGACCTTGACCTTCACGATTTATCTTACTTTTCAAAAAATCAATTTCAATGATAATTTCTAAATAACTGACATATGATAGGGTGTTCATATTAGACACAATATGTCATAACAAGCAAATTCAAAAAATTGTGGTCCCCCGCTTTCGGTGTCTTTGTGAATGGGATGTTATTTTTTATGACATATTGTGTCTAATATGAACACCCTATCATATGTCATTTATTTAGAAATAATCATTGAAGTTGATTTTTTAAAGGGGTAAGAAATCATAGCATGCTCGGAATAATCTTGTCACAGGTAATGCACATGTCATATATGAAACCCTATCTCTTCTCAATACATGTAGAAGGAATAAGATGTGTTTGTTAAACATTGATGACCCCAAATGGCAACATAACGAAGATTAAAATTTTCTTAAATGCAAATTAAATATATTATTACCCAAAGTAGGGTTTTTCTCACAAGAAATACGATTCTGAAATACAAAATCCCTAGCACCACCTGTTCAAAGTTATAGTCGAGGATAAATATTTGAAAGGTAGGTCAAACTCCAAGGTGAAAGGGTCTGAGTTGTTGGTTTCTTAAGAAAGGTCTTGTCACAAGTAATAAATATGTGAAGATTGAAACCCCTAACCCTAACCGTTCAAAAGTTATGGCCAAGGTTAAAGTTTTTAAAAAGTAGGTCAACTCCAAAGTCAAGGTCAAAGGGTTAAAGTTCTCGATAGTCAATGAAAGGTCTTCTCACAAGGATTACATATTTGAAGTATAAAAGCCCTAGCCCTTACCATTCAAAAGTAATGGTCAAGGTTAAAGATTTTTTATAAGTACGTAAATCGCCAAGGTCAAGGTCAAAAGGTCAAAGTTGTTGGTTACCCATGAAAGGTCTTGCCACAAAGAATACACATGTGAAGTATGAAAGTCCTAGTATCTACCCTTCAAAAGTTGTGACCAAGGTTAAAGGTTTTAAAAAGTTGAAAAAAAACTCCAAGGTCAAAGGGTCAAAGTTCTTGGTATCCAATGAAAGGTCTTCTAACAAGGATTATATATGTGAAGTACGAAAACCCTAGTCCTTACCGTTCAAGAGTTATGGTCAAGGTTAAAGTTTTTTCATAAGTACGTAAATCGCTAAGGTCAAGGTCAGAAGGTCAAAGTTGTTGGTATCCAATGAAAGGTCATGATACAAAGAATATATATGTGAAATATGAAAGTCCTAGTACCTACCACTCAAAAGTTATGACCAAAGTAAAAGTTTGGAATTTTTGTGTAAAAGTGGGTCAAACTCCAAGGTCAAGGTCAAAAAGTCAAATTTGGTGGTACCCAAAGAAAGTTCTTGTCACATGGAATACACATATGAAATATGAAAGTCATAGCTCCACTAAATCAAAAGTTATGGGCAAGGTTAAAGTTTTTGTGACGGACGGACAGACTGACAGACTGACGGACAGACGAATGAGATTTAATGTCCCCTCGCTTTCGCGAAAGCGGGGGACAAAAACATAACATCTCTACAGTATCTACAAAGACAACGAAAGCGGGGGACCACAATTCTTTGATTTTGCTTGTTTTTTTTATTGTAATATAATTCATATCTCAACTAGTCAATTGTTTTGAAAATGTTTTATTGTTAAATGAATGGGATTTTTAACTTAGTTATTATTTCTCCCTTCTTACTATAACATATTTGCCATGCAAAATAATAAAGAAAGGAAAAGACTAGTGCAAGTATTTTCCTTTTTTAAATGAGCACCTTGTGCGCCTCATGCGATTTGACAATGTGACAAGTTTATGTGTGATTTACACACATACAGCTCCTATAAAACTACATGTAAAGAGTATAACCATTAAAGTAACATATACCAATATAAAAACTTGAGGATTTGACAACACGTACTAAGTATAAGTATGTCGATTGATTCTTATTCAAAAATTAAATTTATACTACAAGTTCTTCTCGGTATAAATAAAATTGATGTTTTTCTTCAGGTATGGTTTCAGAATAGGCGAGCAAAATGGCGGAAGAGAGAGAAAATGGCGCTAGGTGCAGGCTTTGTGGCATATGGTTTACCATTTTCATTGTCTTGGGCAGCTCACCACTCGTCTTTAATGGTAGTTAAGATTTATTTTAACACAACAGCAAGCTTAATTCTATGCTATGTTGATAAATATCCTGTTCAAGTGATGCAATCAATGCATTAATCAAGATGTATGACAATGTGCTCAGTTTGATAAGCTATCTATTAAATATAAATATTAAATTAATATAGTCGTGTACATTAAGTGTATTTAAAAAAAGTTTTCTGTACATGAATTCTATACTGTGTATTCCATGCAAGTTCCCACTATCGTTGATGTCCCTGGCTTACTACACTAACTAGACAGTGATTCTTTATATCTCCATTTCATTGTGAAATAAAATTGTAGATTTAGATTTTAAAAATTTAGACAAATAGATTTTAATTACTCCCATGTCAATTTAAATGGTCCTTGATTTACCTAATTTGCATTCCTGTAGAACTATCAAGAAATCAACTCAACTAATTTTCAAATAGTTATCACAGAGAAAACATGGAAATGGAAATATTACTGTGTACATGCTTTCATCGATAGTACATCTTGATATGCTTGCTTTCATCGATATACATGTATCCCAGGTTGTCGACATATCCGATGTCGAGATACAGAAGTTTACCTGAACATATACATGTACTTTAAAAGAGAGTCTTGACATTAAATTTACTGTAAATTATATAATTAAAGGAAGATATCAAATTTAAATCATCACATATGCAAACACATTTTAGTTTTTTCCCCAATATTTTGAAGAAATTTACACATCATTAGTGTTTGCTGTAATATTGAAAAAATGCCACAGGCTTTACGAAGTATCTGTTTAAAATCACGTCCCACTCATAAAAATCTGTCAGTGTTATTTTTAGTACGAGATTTGTAAGTTTATACAACGAGATCAATGAGTACTGTATGACTGGGTAATGAAACTATCAATGCACGAATCCGATATGTGACAGTGTTTACAATTTAAATAATCAAAGGATGTGTCATTTTAGAGGGCAATTAAAACCTGTCCCAGACTAATGGACGAGATACAAAGGGGAGTCATTAATAAATGATAGAGTGGAATAAACTGTGAATAATTAATCCTGAAATTAACTTCCTGGATGACTGGAGAAATCATAGTTCCAGACAGTTCAATCTGTGGGATCGGAATACCTTTAGAATCTACCGAATATTTTATCGAACTAAAAGGTTTAACAACTTTGTGTATGCTATTTGGAAAGGTCGTAAAATTTTTATTGTTTAGTTTGTGGAAAACAATTAGTTTTGTCTGTGAGAAAATACATTCTATAGGATATAAAATTGCAGTGTAAAAAACTACTAAATCAGTTTTAGATCATTTTCTACGTTTATCAGCATCCGTGCTTGCAATCACCAGCATTTTTTAATTTGATAGAAAATGCTTATTTTCCATGTATCTTTTTCAATTAATCTTGTTTTTTTCATCGGCGATGCTTTTTTTCCTTCGTTAAAAGAAAGTTCAAAATGTACAAAGATCCTTACAGATAACAATTATAGGCATATATGGGCGTGTTAAAGTAATACACGATTTCAAAATATCAATTTTATAATTTTTAAAATGAAAATGAACACAAATTAATTCTATCAAAATTGTCTACTTGAAGAAAGCAACAGTTGCACATACATGTTGTAGAGAAGTCCAGAATGTATCCTATTCTGCAGATGTACGAAATAGATATTCTTAATTCTGCAGATGTACGAAAGAGATATTCTTAATTTATTATGATACCTGAATAACAATTAACCTATTGCTATCTTTTCCGTTGTCGTTGACTTATGTCAGTCGTAAACATTTGAACATCGTCAGGCTTTTCCAGCTTCCCTCAACCAATTTTGACATTTAGCAGTGATGGACGAAGGGACACAAAATTATGAGTATCAATGTCCTGCTCCGTTAGACTTTATGAGTGGAACTAAAACTATCATAAACTATCTCTGAAAATCTTAACTCTAAGACATAAAGCAGTACGACTGCTTACATCAAACACTTAAACTGCTTAGTACTGATCTTTCTACCAAAATTGTGGAATTATTTAATTAGGCCCAAGGTTAGAGATTCTGCAACATTAAAAAGCGTATTGTATATTTTTTTTAATCTCTTTCCCCGTATAAAGGAGGTGATAAACTTGTATGGTTATGATGATTAAGTCGCCTCACTGCCTCTTTCAAAATTACAGGTATATTAAAACGTGTCTTTTGCGAATCCCATAAACATGGCCATCTTTATTGTAAAGTAGTACCCAGTCTGTATCTACATGTACGTTTTGTAACCTGCGACTGCGTAAATATTTTTTGTTGTTAAAAAGTGGCGTAAGACAGAATTGACTCTTTTCGATAAACATGGTCATTACATGTAAATGTTTCTAGGCGTCAATAATCCTATACGCAATTCTCACAAAACAACAAACGTGTATCGATTGATATTTTGCATGCAGAGACAAACACGTGTATACATGTGAACCTAAGTACAAGATATACTTAATGAGATTTAATTTTATACATTTTTAGTCCCACAGTGCGCTGATGTCTTCAGTAATGGACATGACAAACCCACGTCAGCACCTGTCTACAGACACTCTTCGATATAAAACTTCCAGCGAGCAATCAGATCTCATGAGCGTCAGACAACCAAACCTTGCCTCTAAACACAGATCAAACATCTGCATGGCACTCTCCAACCAAAGGTGAAGGTGATAGCAAAGACTGACCCCCTACATGTAGCAAGGGAACGTCAATTGTTACAGTTGTAACGTATTTTCAATATTAAAGGCATATTACATTTTCAATATTAAAGGCATCAAAATTCGTAAACTTTTCACATTTTCATCTTCTTTAATTTTTTTTTGGTGTTTTTTTTACACTCCCTTTTCCAGGGAGATAATCATGAATTTATTAAAAATTAATGGCATTTTTAAAAAATCTTCTTCTGCGCATATAAAAAATCATTAGTTTGAGTTGCAAGTTTTACATGGGAATATAAAAAAATCTTTAAAAATCTTCTTCTCAAGAACCACTGGGCCAGGAAAGATGAAACTCATGTGGAAGCATCCTCAGGTAGTGTAGATTCAAGTTTGTTATATACAAGATGTCATAGGAATATATAGGAAAAATCTTTAAAAATCTTCTTTCAGGAAAGATGAAACTCATGTGGAATCATCCTCAGGTAGTGTAGATTCATTACATGGGAATATATAGGAAAAATCTTTATCTTCTTCTCAAAACCACTGGGACGAAACTCATGTCAAATACATCAAATATATACAGTTTGTTCAAATCATACAAGGATAGGAATATATAGGACAAATCTTCTTCCAATCAAATAACCTTGATTGTGACATGACCCCTCCATCAAGTTTAACGTAGGAATATATAAGAAAAATCTTTAAAAATTTTCCAGAACCACTCTGATTTAATTGTGTGTCAGCAAAATGCAAAGTTATAGGAATATATGCATCTTCTTCTCCAGTGAGCCATGAATGATGAAACTCAGTGGAATCATAGGTTGGAAATTATTGACCCCTTTGAAAAAATGGCCAACCCGAGTTTTACATAGGAATATATAGTTAAGATTGTTACTAGATTTAAGTTTGTATGGTCAACCCTAGTTTTACATAGGAATAAAATAGAAAAATCTTTAAAATTCTTCTTCTTATTTATTATTCTTTGTTGAATATATAGGAAATATCTTTAAGCAAACTACTTAATTTTAAGACCCCCGGGGCAAGGGTGGGGCCAAAATCGACCCAAGTTTTATAGGGATATATAGGATCAGTTTGTAGTAGTATATTTATATGGAATCATCCTCAGGTAGTGTAGATTCTAGTTTGTTAAATGTGAACTTATGAAACGGTTTATGCATATAACACATAAAAAAAAATAAAAAAAAAAAAGATTTATTATACATAACTTTCACATTTAAAGGGATTCTTATTCAAATACATCAAATATATACATACATCAATCAAAAATTAGACAAATTTAATTGTGTGTCAGCTGCAAAGTGTGTTGGAAATTAAAAGATTATTTTATTAACATATTAAATAATCTCATTTAATTGACGAAAAAAGTCTAGTGCGATTTGATTGTAGTTTATACTAAGTACAAGTTAATTGGTTGCAACATTCCAAATAATATCACACAATTTCCGTTTCCGCTGTTTGGAAAAATCACATAATGCACAACAAAATTTTTTTTGTAAATTTGAGAAGTATCGGATCCGAGGTACTCAGGAAAATATGCCACCTGTACGAACTAGCACGGATACGAGAGGGAGAAAGGATCGGAGCTTCATAACGCCTTGACAGGACCACATGGCGATCAACGCAACATCCAAATTCCCAAAGCGGGGGTGTCAATGTGGCCAGTCAGAGTCAGCTCATGGAGACGAATTGGTCGGGAAAAATCAGGAAATTGGTGATTCTAATGCCACCCACTGAAAAGAAATTTCATTTCAAGAATATCAACCAATTTTGAACACTTGCGCCTTTGACCCGATCATTGCAATATCAAAACACACAAAAAATCCGCAAGGGAACTGGTCGACCACGAAAATACACAAGGTCAGATTCAAATACGCAACGGCACTATGTGCCTTGTCAAGCAAAAATCAAACACTTTCCTATCTATTGAAGAATGGACATCTGCATTCATTATATTTACAAGTATTATGCTGGAAAAGTATAGAACAAGGTCCCAGGAACTATTAAAATACATCAAAACAGCATACAGGTTGGTTCAAGTAATGAACAATATCTAGTTTTCTGGGGCCAATAAACAGCGAATTGTGGCTATTGTATATCAAAAGTCTATATGATAGGGTTAACCCTCAAGGCAAAGTCAATCACACAAATAACATAATTTCAGCCCAACAAAACCATTCATCATCTAGTGCTAATGCTACCCAATATTGTCATTACTATAATGCTGGTAAATCATGCAGGTTTTACCCAAAAGGTTCAACCATGCATGCAACTTGTGTGATGGGAGACATGCAGCATCCATTTGCTAGAGCACTAAACAATTCTAGCCTTGTATCATCAACTTGTACACTGGGGAAAACTCCTATTAATGTTAACATATTGTCTCACTACACTACCTACATTAATCGCTTATATTGGCATGGTGCACCATTAAAAAGTGGTGGCCACAAGATTGATAAAAACACAGGAAAATAAACAAAGTCAACAAGTTCATTACTGAATGGGGGGGGGGGGGGTTTATTACATGATATCATATCAATCAACAACATAGGTCTATTTTGGGACACACCTCTCTGATGAGGGCAATCAAGTGATGTTAAATAACCTTATGTCGGGTGTGCTTATAATAAAATAATTAATGAATAAAACATGGGTGGTTTTGGTGCATAATGTTAAAAAGCAGATTTTTACATATGTATGTATGTGTTTTGGAAAAGTGTGTCAAAGATTGGGGTCACCTCTTGGTGCCCACTCCACCTCTTCACACAGGAAACTGGAGTACATGGTAAAGTACTAACAACCAGGTGTGGGAAACGGGGTAAACGGATATTTTGAAAAAATAATGGGTGGTATTTTCATAGTTTGGGATTTTTGGTACTGGCGCTAGGCCACCAGTTTGCCCGTTATACCTTCTAGGTTGGTATACTGGATATCCCCTCGGACCCTGGGTTAACACAATGTGGCCAATGTCAAATTGTAAATTGATATAGTATGATATTTTGTCTAATTGATTCAATAAATTTGGAAAAAGAAACATGTGTTTGTGACTGTCTCATCAGAACAGTACAAACTTACTTATATGAAATACAAGAGTCTGAGGTTACAAAGGCGTTTATTTTGAATGTTCAATTAAGACAGATTATTTTATTAACATATTAAATAATCTCATTTAATTGACGAAAAAAGTCTAGTGCGATTTGATTGTAGTTTATACTAAGTACAAGTTAATTGGTTGCAACATTCCTTGGTACGACCTATCTAATATCACACAATTTCCGTTTCCGCTGTTTGGAAAAATCACAGTAACCTGCACAACAAAATTTTTTCCCTCCCACCCATCCCAATAATATATATATATATATATATATAGATATATGTAATCGATATAATTTTAAAAAATGTCCTTAAATTCAATAATCTGCCGTAAGAATTTTATCTTTCAGACCCAACAGACTTTCACCTTCAATAGGAGCAGTCCAAAAAAGCCTTGTGTGATTCAATGGATCGTGGGTGCCTTTTCCAAGCAGATGAATTATGGAGACATAGACATGACTTTTGCTGTGAACTATATACTTTGGAACTTTTTTATTCAAGTTATCGCCTTAATCTCTTCATTTGTCGCATTGTGTTCGGGGGGTCGGGTCTGGGGGGATATAAGTGGGAAGTTTTCAAAAAGGGTTTCCCCCCATCTGTCATCTAAGACAGATAAAAAGCAAATTTTTACATATGTATGTATGTGTTTTGGAAAAGTGTGTCAAAGATTGGGGTTCAATGACAGTCTTGGTTTCACACAGGAGGGGAGGCTTATGGAGTACATAAAGTACTAACAACCAGGTGCAATCACTGGGAAACGGGGTAAACGGATATTTTGAAAACTCTTCCAATATATTTTCATAGTTTGGGATTTATGGTATAACGCCAGGCCACCAGTTTGCCCGTTATACCTTCTAGGTTGGTATACTGGATATCCCCTCGGACCCTGGGTTAACACAATGTGGCCATACTTCCATTGTCCCCCTTTTTTTGTCAAATTGTAAATTGATATAGTAGATATTTTGTCTAATTGATTCAATTTTGGAAAAAGAAACATGTGCTTGTGACTGTCAGAACAGTTAAGAGATTAATTGAAATAGTCTGAGGTTACAAAGGCGTTTATTTTGAAAAGATTGCTACTATCACGTGTACCTCACTTATTTATTATTCTTTGTTATGTCTTTAAGCAAACTACTTAATTTTAAGTCAGTATCTTCAAGGATCAGTTTGTAGTTATGAAGTTAAATGTGAACTTATGAAACGGTTTATGAACACATAAAAAATAAAGATTTTTATACATCCTCTTTTCATACATACATCTCAAAATAAGACAAAAACACGTGTATTGAAAAAAAGTTTATTAATCAAAGTATGATGATTTTCTGATCAAACCAAATAATAAACTCATATAAACTTTGTAAAATACAGATTCAGTATAACAAAATGGATTTCACAATGTAATATCCAAATTAAAAGTGAAGTTACAATATTGAAAAAAGAATTTGTCAATGTAAAGAAACATTTGTAATCAGCTTAAATATCACACATAAAATACCAGTGGAACAAAACTGAAATTACAGGAAAAAGATATATATGCTTCATATCATCAAAACAGCATCACATAATGAATATCTACAATGAAAGCATCAAAAGCTATATGATAATGTATTTACAAAAAAAATCCACTAGCGGCTTTAAAGGGTAAAGAGCCCACCAGTTGAGAAGATTTATAAAATCATCGCAACTACCCCCACTAAAAAAAAAAGAATGAAGATTTCAATTTTTCGTCTATATCATGAATTAATGGTAGATTTAATACATTTGATAATGTTGCTTTGTTGATTTTTTTCTACTGAACTGTTGTGTTATTTAAATAATGTAGATATAAGAGACTAGCATTTTTCGGTTTAAGATAGTTTACTAAAATAGTCGCGTCAATTATGTTGTAAGGCGGAAATCAGGTTAAATATGTTGATCTAGTCCCTATAAAGACAAGGATGATCCATATACAGCATGTCTGTTGAATCAGCAGCCGTAA